TGGAGACAGTGGGAATTTCTTATGCAAACTGCTCCATCTGGTGGTTCTTGGAAATCATCTGATTCCAAATCATACTAAAAACTGCGCCTGAGCTCCTCAGTCTAGCTTAAATAGTTTCCCATCCAACTATAAATTAGGGCTGAATTAGGACATAGTCATATAATGTTCTGACAGTGAACCTGATGAAGTACAGCAGTGTTTCTCAATCTTGGCAACTTTTAAGATGGATGGACTTCAATTCCCAGAATTCCCCAGACAGCAAAGCTGGGGAATTGAAGTTGACCCATCTTAAAATTCTCAAGGTTGAGAAACACTGAAGTACAGAATCTACCGGTTCATATTTCTCCACATCTGAAAAACATTTATTTATTTATTTATTTATTTATTTATTTATTTATTTATTTGTTTGTTTGTTTGTTTGTCAACAATAAATGCTCCATGGCATAGGACCTAGTTATCTTCGAGACTGCCTGCTGCCACCGACAGCCTCCCATCGACCTATGCGCTCCCATAGAGAGGGCCTCCTCGGGGTGCCATCAGCCAAACAATGCAGGCTGGTGACCCCCAGGGGGAGGGCCTTCTCTGTGGGGGCACCTACCCTCTGGAATCAGCTGCCCCCAGAGATAAGGAGAATCCAAGACCTCGATGCCTTCTGCCGTGCCCTTAAAACTTTCTTTTTCCAGCAAGCCAGGCTGGCCTAACACTTTTTAAATGTTTTAATTGGTTTGTTACTGTTTTTAATTATGGGGCCAAATTTATATATATCTTTTAATGGTATTTTAATATTTGTACTCTATGTTTTTATGTGGCTGTATACCGCCCTGAGTCCTTAGGGAGAAGGGCGGTATACAAATTCAAAAATAAATAAATAAACAAGTATAAGGAAACAAGTAACAGTACACACAGATATGGACACATGAAAAAAAATTGGCACAAATAAAAGGATATAAATAAGCAAAACATAGCCATAAACACATAAAATGAGTACATATAAATGGGGACAGTAGGACAGGGATGGTAGGCACGCTGGTGCGCTTATGCACGCTCCCTTAGAAATGTGAAAGGTCCACGGTAGACAGTTTAAGGTAAAAGGTATGGGGGTTAGAGAGACTAACAACAGGATCGGGTAGGGTGTTCCGGACATTTACTACTCTATTGCAGAAGTCATCTTTCCTACAATCAAGATTAGAGCGAATTACATTGAATTTGAATCTATTGATAACCCTTATGTTATTACAGTTGAAGTTAAAGTACCCATTAACAGGTAGGATGTTATGGTAAATAATCTTGTGTACTAAGCTTAGGTCGGAACGTAGACAGCGTAGTTCAAGGCTATCCAGGCCTAAAATTTCAAGCCTGGTAGTATAGGGAATTTCGAGCAGAGGATGCAAGTACTCTTCTAGTAAAATATCTCTGGACCCTCTAATGTATTGATGTCTGAAATACAGTGAGAGTTCCAGGCAGGTGAGCAATATTCAAGGGTAGGTCTGGCAAAGGTTTTGTATGCCCTAGTTCAGGGGTCAGCAACCTGCGGCTCCGGAGCCGCATGCGGCTCTTTGGGCCCTCTGCTGTGGCTCCCTGTCAGGTGATCCCACCACTGGCTGGCCCCGCCCCTCACCCTCCTGTCCCAGTCACTCCTCGCCTGGCCTGAGAAGGTAAGGTCGATGGTGGGGGATGGAGAAGCAGCCAGGGGAGAAACAGAGAGATACAGAGAGGGGGAGAGAGAGAGACGTAGAGATACAGAGAGAGAGGGAGGGAGGGGAGAGATATGGCAAAAGGATTGTGTGGTTCCCGGTGTTTTTTAACAACTGGTTCTCTGCCCTAATGACCAGCTGGGTAGGCGTGGCTAGGGGGGTCATGTGACTGGTGGAAGTGAGTGACATCGAGTTGGCCACGCCCACCCAGGCTTTGTAGCTCCTGGTGTTTTCTTTTCTATGGGAAACGGGTCCAAATGGCTCTTTTGAGTATTTAAGGTTGCAGACCCCTGCCCTAATTTGAAGTATAGCGTTACCAGAGAGAAAGCTTCGTAAAATAAGGTTGACAACTCTTAATGCCTTTTTTGCAATGTTACAGTGAGCTCTGGGGCTTAGAGCTTTTGAATCTATTGACGGATAAATTCACTGACACTGAAGATTAAGCTCTGAATTGAAATACTTGTGAATAGGTAATTTTAGGAAACAGCAGCTATATACGACAGGGCTAAATTTTTCAATCTGCTTGTTCTGTGAGCCATTTTAACTTTGGCAGATCTTGCTAGCTATGCAGGCAACAATTGTGTACTTAGAGAACCATGGCACCCATTTTGAAAATGCAGCATGTGAATTGATAGCCCTTATTAGACTTGCTTGTCTCTTATGAAAAATCTTAGACTTCATAGGAAAAACAATAATGGCATGAATAGGAAGTGAAATAAAGCAATAAAGCTTAGATGCCAGATCAGAACTATTCCAGTTTTTTTAAAAAAGGTTATCTCCAGACAAGAGTACTCATAATGTTGATAGTTCTTTCATTGCAACTTACAATCATTTTTCAAGGCACTGATTTGTTTTGGTAATTTCAGTATTTCTTGAGGGAACAAATTTAGGATTGAAGAATTTGTGAGATACATATATCACAAATAAATAAAATTGTTGGCAGAGATTGCTTGCAATCATTGTAGTCTGTAGAAACAGCATCCTTTACTCTTTGCTTCCTTCACATCTATGCAAGAAGCAATTCAAGTTCTGAATTAACAACGTTGCTTTCCTGCAAAGTGCCCACGTGCCTTTAATCCTCTTTTAAGCCTTTTGGGAGGGGCCAATCATCTCCAGGCCTTACTCCCAAATTGTCCCTTTTGTTTTAACTGTTTGTGTCTTCTGGCAGCTCTGCGCATGCATGCACTAGGAACAGGCTCCTCCTGTTCCTCTGCCTCTCACTGGAGGCTCCGGAGTCCGCGCATCACTCCCAGATGACCCTGGCCCCATCTCTGCCTCCGACGCAGAGCCCTCGTCTGGGCCCTCCCCAGACTCCAGGACTGGTCCATGTTCCTCCCCAGCCTCCTCACTGTCCGACTCAGCTGCCAGCTCCGCAGGCTGCTGGCAGACCACATCACAATCTAGTGGCAATGAGTTTCTCAAGAGCTGTACCCCCCCTGCAGGGATGCAGGACCTATAAGATTGGTCCACCCCCCCGTCGACTAATGGACCTGGATGGGTTCCAGAAGGAGCTGAGGGTTATAACTGCAGATCTACTGTGCAGTCCAGCCGAGCTCTTAGTCACTGTTTGGAGACTGTCTCTTGCTGGTCACATATACCCGACCCATCAGAGCAGGGAGGCAGGGAATGTTGCATATCCCATCCCTGGGCAAGATTCACCTGGTGGGACACAGAAGAAGGGCCTTCTCTGTGGTGGCTCCCTCTCTCTGGAACATCATTCCCCCAGAGATTAGAACGGCCCCCACTCTAATACTCTTCCAGAAGGCACTGAAGACCTGGTTCTGCCAGCAGGCCTGGGGAACCCAGAGTGAGATGGAGCCCATTGAATGGCTCATGTGATCTGCTGTTGCCGGGGCTGGGGGTTGGGAGGTGATTTTGTTATATTGTACTATATTAATTGATTTGATTCTTTTTGTTAGTTTTTATTGTTTTAAATGTGGTTTTATATTCTGTGAGTCGCCTTGAGTCGCCATGGGCAAATAGGCAGCAATATAAATTAAATTAAATAAATAAATAAATAAATAAATATAATTATATTGATTACATGATCTCTGAGTATTTGATTGATACTACTCCTAAATAGCAATTTTTTATACTATGCAAAGTAGTTGAACAGGATTCTCCACAAAACATTATAAAGGCAAATGAGATAGTAAGAAGTCCTTTGGCTTCTTATTTGGCCAATAAAACTATCTTTCCAACAAGCAGAGAATATACCATCGGAAGGAGAAGTAATAAAAAAAAATTAGATTGTGCAGAAATGAACAGATTAACTATGATGATAAAAGAAAGAAGATTCAGAATATTTTAAGATATGGAATCAATTTTACTATTGGTTAGAAAAGAGATATAAATAAGTTAATTAATAGAGATAGATAAAAATGTTACAATTAGAATATTATTTTAGTAGAAAATTTTTGTAATGGACTTGGCGAGAACGAAGATAGAAAACATAATAGAAAAAAATGAAGTTTTTGGAGACAACACCGAGATGTCACATGGAAGAAATGAATGAAGTACTAAATGTTTGTTTGTCTTTAAAAAAAAAGAAAAAAAAAGACTATCTTTCCAACATTAAGAGTTCCAGGGACCAGATGCATCCAGAAACCCTCTTCTACTGTTTACCCTAATATTGTTTAACAAATGGGGCCTACAAGTCTGAATATAATACTGCAAATAGCCATCAAGACTGTTACTGAATTGCCTGCCATTTCTTGATTATCTCTTGGAAAATTCTGAGATCCCCTCCAACTTCCTTTTTTTTGTATTTCAAACCTCCTCTTATTAACTACCTTAATACAGGTAGTTCTCGACATATGACCACAATTGAGCTCAAAGTTTCTGTTGCTAAGCAAGACAGTTGTTATGTGAATTTTGACCCATTTTTGCTACTGTTAGGTGAATCATTGAAGTTATTATTGACATGGTTAAGTGAATCTGGCTTCCCCATTAACTTTGCTGGTCAGACGTTTGCAAAAGGGTGATCACATGACTCCGAGACACCGAAACCACCACAAATATGAGTCCATTGCCAAGTATCTGAATTTTAATCACATGATCATGGGGATGCTGCAATGGTCATAAGTGTGAAAAATGGTCAAAAGTCACTTTTTTCAGTGCAGTTGTAATTTTGAAGAGTCAACAAAATGAACGGTTGTAAGTCAACAACTACCTGGATTGAGTATTAAATTGAGCAAGCTTCATAATAACACTCTTGTGCCTTCTACTCATTTTTCAAAATAGCCGACACTCAGGACATCACTAAAATCAACAGCTGGAAAGAATACACTTTCCCCCCCTCCTAGATAAATCTATTTATTCATTTATTTATTTGCTTGTTACCCTAGTTTTAAAAAAAGAAGAAGCTTGGATTACAAGTGTATGAACAATATAAAAAGTATAAAAACAGATTCCATAGATTTCTACTACATTGATACAAAGTGCATAACTACATACAATTCATCTTGCATTACTACTCGAGGAAGAGGGAAAGGGAGGAACAGTCTGCTGTAGTAGTAATAAATAAATAAATACAGAAGAAGAGATGATCCATATTATAGTTACATATAATTCATACTGTAATTGTAAATGCACAGAAATGTTGACCAATATTGATTAGAATAAACATCAACCGAGAAACCAATAGGAAGAAGTTAACCAAGACGCCTACAGGCATCCTTCCGAGTTTACCAAGCCAGCAAAACTGCCAAGGCATTAGGTCAGTCTGAGGAAAAAAACTATTTTATCCTCCCTTTAGAATAAGTCTCCTATTTACAACAGGGGATAGGGATAGAAGAAAGGCAATTAAGGGTACCCTATAAAAGTAGGAAGACATTATTTCATATTCATATTTGTCTGACATAGCGCAACTAAAATTTCATTGTTCAGTTTAAAAAAACAACAACAACCCAGGCACATTCATAACAGTGCACTGCAGAATCAAGTCAAAATTCTCATACTATTCAAATGAATTTAAAACAAAAATCAAAAGCAGCAGAACTCTTGCTGGGAAGCCGTTATTTTGATCCCAAAAAGCAGGCAATCACCCTTTAGCCACGTTTTAACAGAAAGCTGTTTCTGGGTAATCAAGAACATCGATTAAAAAAACAAAACAAAACCAGGAATCATGATGCTTCAGTTTACCCTATTTCTGAAGCAATTTTGACATAAGACAAGAGCCTTACTGAACTGTACAATAATCAACTACAGTAATATTGACTAATATTGGGATGTGTGGGAACTTGGAGCCACTAAAGGGACTCACACGGAGGTATTGGGGAGGAAACCAGATAATTTGTTTTTCAAGTTTTTGAGACATCAGATATTGTTATCAAATTAGGGGTAATATTAGGGAAGTTAACCAAGTAGCTCTATATTGGGAGTCTGGGCAAAGGAGGAGCTACAACAGCTGGAGGCACTTCTGGATAAGGAGGGGCAAATGAGAATTCCAGGAAGGGTAGCAGCTGGGACACAGATTCAGGAACAATGAGTAACATTTACTATGGCTAGGTGGCATGAATGTACATGTGGGTCTCTGCAGGCATTCAGTGAATCTGTGAAATATTTTAAGAGAATATATTACATAATTCAACCTCTCCAAGGCTGGTGGAATGGGCTCCTGTCATATCTATCAAGCCTGCTCAATGATTGATTCCACCCGATAGTCAGGCTGAACTACGGTGTGGAAATAAGAAGAATGCCATGAGTTGCTATACACATATTTACGGAGGATATAATTCAAAAAATATTAATTTTTCCTTTTTCAAATGGCATAGAAAGCATCTTCAGCTCTTTAAGGTGAGTGGTGGGAAACATTAGTATGGAATGTTCCTTACTTGGATAAGAAATAAGTCAACAACATGGAGAGAGAGAGAGAAGGGAGTGAAAAGGACTAAACCTGAATTTTGGTCAACATGGCTTTCCTTTGAAGTTTTCAAACAAAAGGAAGAACTTACTAAAATATGTAGAATGGTTCTAAGCCTACAGGCCATTTGAAGAACTAATATTATGAATGGATAATAGATAACTGTTCCCACTCTGAAAAAGTGGACATAGGTTTTGTATCTATAAGGTACTGTAGCATCATACCAAGGGAAACCTATTTGGTAATTAAAGGTTTTGTCATCATAGCACTTGTGTTTACATCATATTGCTGTTCAATCCCTATGTGACTTTTCTGTTGGATGAATAATATCTAGATCTCCAGGTGTTGTTGAACTCTTACTGCAGTCAAATGCATCCAATCTGCTCAACATTTAAGGATGGTGGGACCTGCAATCCAACAGCTAAAGGACCACATATGTTGCCCATCCCTATCCTAAAATATTATGAAGAAACTGTTTCGCTGCATAAATTACCTGCAATCTTGTTTGTGGGGGAAATTATGATTTGATAGTGGTCTGATCCAGACCCTTGGTCTGATCCACCTTCACACTTGCTAGTTTTGCCTGTCAAATGCATCCTCTGTCTGTTCATACATACATTCTTCCTATCCAGAAATAACTAGGTCAAGTGAAACATGTTTTACTCGTTGCTGAAGCATCAGTAGTAAGAATTAAGAACTCCGCAAACTTTACATCATATGCATGGTAGAGAAGTCTTATACAAGCTTCAGTATCCAAATTCATGCAAAGCCATGGCTCTGCTTTACTAACACGGCACACCTTCTGGAAAATACAAGCCTTTCAACTCCAGCAGAATTCCCAGCTATATAAAGGCTCCAAATACTGAGAATTGGAAGAGCAGAATAGTTGAAGGACACTACACTGGGGAAGACTACCTTAAAATTCATCATTCCTCTCCAAATAGAGAGAAAAAAATGGCTACCTAAAATTTATTATGCCAAGCAGGAACACTGCTTATGACAAATATATATACTCCGTATCAGGGGTGTCTGCAGAGTATGATTAGAAAAGTCAAGATGGCAACCCTAATAATGCAATTGAAGACGTCTCCTTTTTAAAATCAACGTTACACATAAAAAGAGACAGAGCTTTGATTGCACTACTTCGGCCACCATCCATTTTTTTAAAAACCCATACACTGCAATCACCCCTGCTCCATATAGTCACCAGCCTTCCGGTCATTAGGGTGGGAACAAGGCTGAACAAAGATGATACACAGCAGCGTTCAGCTTCACCATGTGGCCAATATTCCTTAAATCTTTTTCTGAAAAGATATCAAGGGACTCTGAATTAGTAGAATTGATGCAGTAAAAAAAAAAAAAAAATCTTCAGACAGTTCGAGGGGGAAAAAAAAAACGAAAGTCTTTTGGCAGCATAGCAGGTCTCCAAAGTAAAAGGAAGGCCACTTCAACAAATGGCAGAAGAGGTTTAATCTGTCTCCCTCTGCACCTCTTTAAGGAAGTCACCACTCTTCTTGATTGGTGATGGTGGATGATGGAGGAACTGGCAATGGAGACTTCTCGGCTGCAGGCTGCTTATTACGACAGCAGGGCTTGAAGAGATGGGTGTCTATGAGGACCTCTCCAAAGCGGCCTTTGTAAATAATTCCACAGCAAACCTTTTGCCTTCAGGGGGAAAACAAACCAAACTGTTACTGCACGTATAATTTATTAAACTTGCATCTGGCCAGATTTTCACTGACTCTGATTGGATGGCTCAGAACAATCCAATAAAGAAATTGCAATAAAATAAGGCATAAAAAGTAAAGATTAAAAAAAAAAATGGCAAGCACGATAAACACCCTGGCCAAAGAACCAGATCTTTACCATTATTCTAAACAAAGGCAGAGTAGGGGACATATTTAAAGATAATTTAAAAATAATTTATATCTACTATGTTTCCCTGAAAATAAGACCCAACCGGAAAATAAGCCAGATGGATGCATTTAGTACCGTATTTCCCTGAAAATAAGAGCTAACTGGAAATGTGTCTTTTGGAGCAAAAATTAATATAAGACCCATTTTTATTTTCAGGGAAACACGGGTAGTTACTGGACTAATAGGTGGTTCTCATTTAACAATTGCCCTGTTTAGCAGCTTTTGAAGTTACAATGGTGTTCTAAAAGTAACTTTATGCCCAGTTCTTGTACTTGCACAACCATCAAAGGGTCCCCATGGCCATGCAATCAAGATTTGGGTGCATTGCAAATGATGACTGTTTATGACCGTTGCAGCATCCCATAGCCACATGATCACCAATTGGTGCATATTGACATGCAGAGTCAAAGGAGAAGCCAGCAGTAGAATCACAAGTTGCAGTCATGTGAGGTCTTGCTTAGCAATAGAAATAGCACTTAAGACTTATATACCGCTCTCTAAATGGTTTACAGAGTCAGCATATGGCCCCCAATAATCTGGATCCTCATTTCTACCGACCTTGGAAGGATGGAAGGCTGAGTCAACCTTGAGCCTGGCGAGATTCGAACTGCCAGTCAGCAGAAATAGCTGGCAGTACTACATTCTAACCACTGGGCCACTGCGGCTCTTAACAACCTGTCACTGAGTTGTAGGTCCCAATTGTAGTTATTAAGTGGGTATGACCTATACGGACTTATAGCAAAATGCTTTAAAAGTTGTTCCATTCGTAAACTGCTGTTTTTTCTGAGCCTTTGTCCTTGCAAAGTTGCTGGACATGCGTGTTTCTTCATCACATTTGCCTAGTTCTGACAGTACAGCCATCAACGTGTTTTATTTGTGTGTTAGTTTATTCATGTTCATGTGGCTGCCCAATTGGCAAAATCAACTCTGGGTAACAAGCATGGTTAAAAGCATCAATGCAAAATGAAAATAAATAATGATACACACAACAATGGTGCCTGCATACTGTATCAAAAGCGTGTCTGTGTTTATTAGCCAGCTTCTCACAAAGCCGGAGTCTCATTAAAGCTTTAGAAGGCAACAAGGTCACCCAACTGGGTGTAAGTACGCACTAGAAACCTCCTCCCAGTCCACCATCTTAATCATCACACCATGCTGTTTTCCTGCTCAAAGTCATAATTAGACAAGTATAAAACATTCTATTTAGAGATCCTATGTGTTTATAGCACGCCTAATGAAACAAAAGGCTGCATCAGTATGATGATGTGATTTTTTTTTTTAAAAAAAATCAAAGGCAACAACTCTTAACTTTCAGTAAAATGATTACTCTGCGGGTCTTCTTCTCCTGATTTAAAAGCACTACTTAAATTCAGCCATGAAGAGCATTGCCAATACTGTCCAACCTCCCAAAGTTTGGTGGAATGAAGTACAATTTTTTTCTTTGTTTTAGAACTGTGTCAAGTTCGTTTAGGCCTACACTACATTTTTTGTGTCTTCCTATTGGGAAACCAAATTTTGGGCTGCTAGATGGAAGGTACTCCAAGGGATTAAGAAGTGCCCGCTGCCATGGGACTCAAGGTACTATCCTGGGTTTAAGATAGTTTCTATCAGGGTGGATAAAAATCAATGATTTTTTTAAAAAAAAACAAAAAAATCAGATTTTTTCGATTTAAATCGAATTTTTTTGATTTTTATCGAATTTATTTTAATAAAAAACTTTTGGGGTAAAAATCTATCGTAAGATAGTTTTCTATTTAAGATACATAAATAAATTAGTTTATTCAGCATGAAATGGAGCTTAGTTATGTAGCATGAGGCTGTATATACTGCAACACTGGGACTATCCGTGAGTCAACAGTGGGTCAAAGGAGTAGCAGAGATGACAGTTGCTCTTTAAAAATTATGATTTAAATCAAGTTGATTTAAATCAAGCCTTTTTACTAGTGATTTAAATCATGATTTAAATTGTGATTTAAATCAACTCGATTTAAATCAAATCCACCCTGGTTTCTATCAACACACAGATAGTTCTCGACTGTCGAATTATTGACAATTGAGCCCAAAATTTTTGTTGCTAAGTGAGACATTTGTTAAGTGAGTTTTGCCCCATTTTACGACCTTTCTTGCTACAATTGTTAAGTGAATCTGGCTTCCCCATTGATTTTGCTTGTGTGAAAACCAGTTGCCAAGCATCTGAATTTTGATCATGTGACGATGAGGGAACGCAACAAAGGCCATAAGTGTGAAAAAGGGTCATAAGTCACGTTTTTCAGTGCTGTTGTAACTTTGGTTGTAAATTAAGAACTATCTGTATCTTGCAGCAAGAAAATCTATGCATTTCGAATATCTTCCTAATCCCCAACTCTTTTTACAGAGAACTTGTCCTGGCTAGATTTAGCAAGCATTTCTGCTGACGTGAGTGTGCAGCACTAGCTAATCTTAAAGCATGAAGGAGATTTGCAGATCAATACACCTGCTGGCTGTTGTCGCAGAATCTATCATTCCTGTCCAAGAAAGGATTAATACTGAAAAGGGGGGGGGGGGAAGTAGGCTGAAGAGTAGAGTTTTACTCTTAAGACAACAGGCCTTGTGATCCAATTCATGCTCTGCATGATATCCAGTTACTTTTACCCACTTGCTTAAACACCAGGTTGAGTCATCAGCTGTCTGCAAACGCTGCCTAATTGCTGAGGGAACGGAAGCAGCAGAGCCTTGTAATTAAGATTACATTTTATGCAATTATGTGCATTTCTAACTTCTGTCTCTTCCTGAGTTTCCCTCTTCTGTCTAAAGCTAAGTCTCCAAGTCCCATTCAGGTATGGTCTTGCTTTCACCAACTTCTCTTCCTTTTTAAAATTATGTTTGTGTACACACACACATTCACTGCTTGAGTCTGAGAAATAATACAAGATCCTGCTAAGGAATAATAGGGTACACAAGTTCACAATTGGGGCATTTTCACCTTTTCCAGTACGTAAGATCCAAGAAGGAGAAGACAGGTGTGCGGCTTGAACCCGGTGCCATCTCAGTGTCTGAACCATCGTCAGACGGGTTGCTATAGCAAGGCGAGTGGGCTGGAGAGGCACTTGAGGTAGTGCTGTGAGCATCAGAGTCTATAGGAAGAAAGGAAATAATTGTGTTAAAATAAATTTAATAAATTTCAGGGAGAGGAAGTGTCTGTTATGTCCATTAAATCTGAATTTAATGTGTCAATGTCATATGTATGATAATGCAATTATGCAGATATTACGTTATTAGGAAAATGACGTAAATCAAATTAATAAATGCAAATGAACTGTACTTGGACCTAAACATTAAATAATCTTTTAGTCACCAAATGATTGTCCAATTTTGTCCAATTTGCGTCAGATATAAAAGTTCATAATTTCCATAGGAGATCCAGATGCAAATTTCTGTTAAATCGCTTTATTCTATGTAACACTATTTTTAAACCCAGAAATGTTTATCAGAGATGGACTGAAGACTCTAGTATGCTTCTTTGATTCTTCAGTGTTTTAACTTTCATTTGCAACATAACATGAAGAAAAATTAAGATTCTCTCCATATAGTTTTAATGCAACATATAGGAAGTCTTCATTTGTTATGGCAACCACAAAGGCTATTTTCCTTCTCATTTTTCTTCAAACTACTAGTATTTAATCTTAAACTAATGAATCTGAACCTTGCAATTTTGGGAAAGACAAAACAGTTGACAGTAAACACGAAATTGTTACTTCAAACATACTGTGTCACTCCTTTTCTCATCAGATTTGTTTTGGTTAGCATAAATATGGCATAGTGAATAATTGTTGTTAGCATCCTGTTTGTATCATAAATTATATATAACTAGCTGATGACCTGGCGCTGCCCAGATATTTTTTCATCCTAATCCCCCCGCCTCCCGTGCATGTGCGCACAACCCCCCTCCTGGGACTGTTTTGGGCCTAGTAGGCCTCCCTGCAGCCAAAACAGGCCGGGGGGGGGGGGGGGGGGCTCATGCCACCCTCCTGTGCTCCCCCTGCCCATGTGTAGTAGAGACCCAAATATCAGCTGGCTGGTGGGAGGCACGCGCATGCGCGGTGGAGCTGAGCGTGGCTCTGTGTGCCACCTGTGTGCCAGGACACACATACACATACAAACACCCCGAGGGGTATTAGGGGTGTCTTATCCCCGCAGTATTTTTTTCCAGATAGTAAGTCATCTGGGTACCAAGTTTGGTTGAAGTTGCTCGAGGCGTTCCAGTATTATTCCGGAACACACACACGCACACCCCGAGGTTAGGGTGTGTTAGGGGTGTCTTACCTCCACAATGCTTATCTCCAGAGGGTAAGTCATCTGTGTACCAAGTTTGGTTGAAATTGCGTGAGGCGTTCCAGAGTTATGCTGGAACATGAACACACACACACACACACCCAAGGGGTGTTGGGGTGTCTAACCCCCACAATGCTTGTCTCCAGAAGGTAAGTCATCTGTGTACCACGTTTGGTTGAAGTTGCTCAAGGTGTTCCATAGTTATGCTGGAACACACACACACATACACACCGAGGGGTGTTAGGGATGTCTTACCCCCAGTGTTTGTCTCCAGAGGGTAAGTCATCTGTGTACCAAGTTTGGTTGAAATTGCTCGAGGCGTTCCAGAGTTATGCTGGAACACACACACACACACACACACACACACACACACACACACACACACACACAGGTGTGTTAGGGGTGTCTTACCCTCACAGTGCTTGTATCCAGAGGGTAAGTCATCTGTGTACCAAGATTGGTTGGAATTGCTCAAGGCAGTCCAGAGTTATGCTTAAACAAACATACATACATACATAGATCCTTTTTTTAAATATATAGATGGTCTGGAATAAACAGGTATTATTTTTTCTCAGGTCATAAAATCAGCCAGATTGTGTTTTCTCAGAGAAATTTTTAATTTGAGGCTGGTCATGAGAAACACTGATATTGAAATATCCTCCATTAATTGTCTTTCACTTGGGTATAAAAATAATCTGACAAATTAAATAAAATTCACACTTCGTACGACTGTGAACCTACTTTCAAAGGCAAGATGTAAAAGCTGAGACTATTAAGTATCAAGAGTCAGTAGACTGAAAGTCCTCCTTGCTGACTGAAAATACAGTTGAGCTATTACATCAGATAAAGGTAAGGAGTCCCTGCGGATTTTACTTCACCAGTTGTTGCCGACTAGTGCAGTTGTTGCGGCACTCATCTCCATTTCAAAGCCATTGAGTTAGCGCTCTCCAAAGATATTTCCATTGTCATGTGACCAGCAACATGGAGCACTGTTAGCTTCCCACCAAAGTGGTATCTGTTTATCTACTTGCATCTGCATGCTTTCAAACTGCTAGGTTTGGAGGAGCTGAGGCAAGTGACAGGAGCTCACTCTTTCGGTGGCACTTGGGTCTCAAACCTCGGCTGCTGGATTTCGTGCCAAAAAGCCCAATGCCTTAACCACTCAGCCCCTGCACCTCCCACATCAGATAAAAAATCCATATGAACAGAACGTACTGTGTCGCTTTAACTCTTTCTGAAGTTTGCTTATTTGATTGCTCTTCATCCTGTTGCTAGGTAGAGGTTTCATCTTCTTTGGCTTCAGTGTTGTTTTAAGGCTCGGTCCAGCCCTTGCATCCACCACCTATAGGAAGGCAACAGGAGATCTTAGTACCATCAAAAACAATCAGGCCTTCACAGATAGATTTTTAAAAATGGGAAAATATGCTCAAATTTAAAAGAAAACTGGATTGCCAAAGCTAAAGAAAAAGAAAAAGCAGGAAAACTAAATTTCTTTACCAAGCCTATCCAACCCTAGTGGTCAATAAAAGTTTGCAATTGGTACTTACCAAAGAAATTAAACAGTTGGAAAATGTGATATTTTATTCAGAATTTGTTCTGTCATTGGATTCTGCCAGTGCATGGTTTATATTGGTTTTACAGACAATGGAACCTTATCTACTTATCTACTGGAGGCTAAAACATATGAAGAACGGTTGCAGGAACTGGGTATGTCTAGTTTGATGAAGAGAAGGACTAGGGGAGACATGATAGCAGTGTTCCAATATCTCAGGGGTTGCCACAAAGAAGAACCTGAGGGTAGAACAAGAAGCAATGGGTGGAAACTAATCAAGGAGAGAAGCAAACTAGAACTAAGGAGAAATTTCCTGACAGTTAGAACAATTAATAAGTGGAACAACTTGCCTGCAAAAGTTGTGAATGCCCCAACACTGGAAATTTTTAAGAAGATGTTGGATAACCATTTGTCTGAAGTGGTGTAGGGTTTCCTACCTGGGCAGGGGGTTGGACTAGAAGACCTCCAAGGTCCCTTTCAACTCTGTTATTCTATTCTATTCTATACACTTGGTATTATTTTATTTAGCCATTCCCTTTCTCTTCCAAGATACCAGAAGATTCAATGCAAAAGAGAACCAATGCTACTTAAGAAAAATGGGTGGATTTGCACAAAATAGTGAATGGAAGTGCTAATATATAAACTGGAGCTTTCAGGTTTGACTTTTCTTCTATAGCAGAAAACAATTGTAGTTGCTTTTGTAGTTCCAGAACTAATATCCAACCAAACCACAATTATTATAATTTCCAAATGTTGTAAAGGTGTTACAGGGAAAAGGTAGGCGTAGATGAGGAAAATGTTCATAAAATATATAATTTTATGTTAATGTAAATTACCACCCAATGCATTACTGAAGAAAAGACTGTTTGCAAAAAATATTTCCAATTTATATTAGGAAAGAGTTGTTTAAAAATATGTACCGAATTTCACACAAGTTGTAAGAAAGTTAGTCATTACTAAATAACGGTAATTGGGACAGGAATTTCTGTCGCTAAGAAATGTAATAAAATGCAGCGTCATGTGTGACCACGCTGCTTAATGATTGTAGTTCCTGGTTACTGCTAAACAAATCATCACACGTCATTAAGCAAGGACCTCCCATGACTGTGACTTCATGCCAGATTCCTCATTGACTGCAAATCACAATCGCATGACTGTGGGATGCTGCAACACTCAGAAGTCCAGGTCAGTTACCAAATACCCAGATCACATGACCGCAGGGAGGCTGCAATGGCCAGAACTTCAAGGACTGGTTGCAAGTATCCTCTGTTCAGCACAGTTGTTAAGTTTGAAGTTGTTGAACAGGTGGTCCTTAATCAAGAACCACCTGTTATCATTCTCGCTGTACCTATTCACCTTAATATAGAAAGACATTTACTGCAGCACTTAAGCCACAACCCGGTCTACCTACAGTAGCTTCATCTTTGAGAACTAGAACTGCAAATTAGGAATGTTCATGCCAGACTTGTTGTGGCTCATACAATGCATGATCTCTCTGTCACCACCTTCCTCGTGTTTATTTAACCTATTAGATTCCTATGAATCATAGTAACAATAAAGGCAGGTAAAGACAAAGCCAGAATGGTAGCAGCTCTAGGCATGTTGCGTACTACTCCGTAAAAGAGGAAAATACCGGATCACCAATCTTGGCTCAGCATGGTCTACACTACAAGGGTAGAGCTACCTGTTTTACCTGGAAAGTCTGAATTGGCTAGTTGAAAAGCTCCTGTGAGGATAACTAAGAACGCTGTTTCAATTTACACTCCCCTCCTACTTGCCTCATGCAATTCCAAGTGAGAGAGAAATATAATAGTATAATAGCCCCATATTCTTACCATTACCTAGCCTTATTATATAGTAGAAATGGGATCACTGTCCGAATTGCTAAAATGGGATTTACTTGGGGCTGTCTTTGAAGACCACTAAGCCATTTCAGCTGGTTCAAAATATGGCGGCTGCTTGATTACTGATTGGCCAGTCCTAGTTCAACACCCACTTCAGAGAAGTTGGATTGGGCCTCAGTAGGCATTCCAAGTACAATCAGTGGGCTGGTAATTACTGATAAAGCTGTAGAAAGCATAAGGAATTGGCCTTGAAGGACACCAGGAAGAGCAGCTACCGAGATAATGGTCAGATAAATAGGACTTGAGTCCAAGAAAATAATTTATGAAAATACTTCAGACAAGCCCCTCCCTCGTTCAAAACAAAGACAGAGGGAGGGAGAGAAGCACATTCAGACTTGCAAGATTCTGTTACTGTAGCTGTAAAATAAAAGTAATCCTGATTTTTCTTTCTTTCTTTTCTTCCTTCCTTCCTTCCCACCCTCCCTCCTCTTTCTTTCTCTCCCTCTTTCTAAATTTTATTGGCCACCCCATCTTACCACAAGTTAACTCTAGGCAGCTTATTATCATAAAAACCTATCTATCCATATACATTAAAACAAATCAGTTGAAACCAACTATTAAAGTCTAATTACATGTGGGGCAAAATGGGGGTAGATGGGAACTGCTGTTACTTGATCAACCACCTCCACTGTGCTAGTCCCCCATTGGGGGCCCAAGCCAACTGGCAGAGACAGGTCTTTAGGCCCTAACAAAAGAATAAGAGGGTCGGGGCCAACCTCATGTCTGGGGGGGAGGGGGGGCAAGATGATTCCAGAGGGCAGGGGCAACAGTAGAGAAGGCCCTCTGCTAGTCAGAATAATCAGGCTGATGGGACCCAAAGCATGCCTTCTCTATCGGCACGGGTGTATGGGCTTTGGTTTCTTAATCAAGCCTACCGTGTACAGCTGACAAAAGCCCAATATAGGTTAATTCTTCAGTTAATATGAGACTGTCCTTCCTGAACAGAATTTACTATGCAGGGAGTGATCTATCACCAGAAGGTGATAATACTATGTTACCCTGACGAGAAGTCAGTTTACTATATTGTGTGGGAAAGGTGGTACAAGTGGATGCATGATAAAATGAAAGAAAGACTTAAAGGTGTGTTAAATAATGGTTAAAAGTGATTTGAAATATCACCAAGTATTATTTATGTAAATAGTTAAAACACTGCACATCCGATATCAACTGAAAATGATATTACATTTATGTTTTTTACGTTTTTGTTTGTATGTTTTTCTTTTTCTGTTTGTAAAAAATCTTAATAAAGTTTCTACCAAAAAAATAAATAAAAAATACTATGTTACCCTGGAAATAAGATCGGGTCTTATATTAATTTTTGCTCTAAAAGACGCATTAGGGCTTATTTTCTGGTTAGGTCTTATTTTGGGGGGAAATATAGTACTAAATGCACCCATCTGGCTGACAATCTTAACTGGGGCTTATTGTGAGGGTAGGGCTTATATTACAAGCATCCTGAAAAATCATGCTAGGACTTATTTTCCGGTTGGGTCTTATTTTCGGGGAAACGGTACAAAGAAAAAAAATCTCATATGGAAGAGAATCTTCTGGCTCCTGAACAGAGAGTGGCTTTCTTTTTAACGGCAGTCTGGAAACAAGTAAAGGGCGTCTTTTGTTGCCCAGTTTTTAAGAGGACTGCTTGACGAAAAGGTGGCTCCTGTTGCCCCCGAGAGTTATAATTTTATGGTTTTATCTACCAAATGAACTTTAGCCACGGGGGAAAATTGTGGCCCTATAATTTCATGCAGCTTTGGAGATGTTATTGATGTGTTGTTGCTGTTGTGAACTGCCCAGAATTTGATGGATATAAATGATGTTTAAAAAAAAAAGTACAAGAGTGAAGAGTAAGTGGCAGTTTCACACCTGAGACACGGGCATGTTCCAAGTAGGAAGATGGGACATGAATCTCCTCCTAAGTGAGGAGTTTAATTACATTTCGAAACAGATATTCAAAATATTGAAAGAGGCTCTACGATGAAAGTTGTAGTCTTTGTAAATCACAACTTTCTATTGCTAATAGTGGCAGGAAAGCCTCCTGTTTTCCTCCTCAACTAAAGATCCACCAATGTGGCCCACAAGCAGCCTTTTTCCAACCCTATGTCCTCCATGGCTGTTCTCAATTCTTAGCATTGCCTTATCATGTAGAAGAGGGGTGTGTGTGTGTGTGTGTGTGTGTGTGTGTGTGTGTGTGTGTGTAATTAAGCACTCATCATCTTAGAGTTGTTACATTGCCACAAGCAGTCCAAGTCCATTCCCCCCTCTTGAATTCCACTGACCCTTATCTAGCACCAATTTAATGCTGCCGGTTAGTTGACTAGATTCTTGTATATAGGCTTGACAATAAATCTACTGAACTGCAACTTAACAGTATGGTCTTGATCCTTTGTGCTTTCCTTGACAATCATTAAGCAGGTCTGATTGCTGCAGTCCTGATGTGGTTGGATAGACGCACCTTTCCCCCCCCTAAAAGGGTGTGAAAATTTAGGTGTGTCTTATACAACGAATGTAGCCCCGCCCACCCACTGGCCCCCAACCTTTGGCCTCTGCCTCCCAGCAGTTACCACCTTGCAAGCAAACAGCAAGAAAAAACAGCTCCTTTCAGCTTCAGCACAGCCTAATTAGCATAAGTTGATTGGATAGGCCTCCCGACTCTCAGCTGTTTTGCCCAGGGCTCTGCTGCTTGCTGCAAGGAGATAAATTGCTGGAACAGATTTTTTTTTTCCTTGTGCTAATCAAGCTATGCTGAAAACGAAAATGAAAGTAAAGCAGGCTGTTTGCTGTTTGCTGCAATGAGGCAAAATTGCTCAGAGGCAGAGGGAGATTTCTTTTTCTTCTTTTCCTCACCAAAAAAGGTAGGTGCGTTTTATAGTCCGGTGCGTTTTATATTCTGAAAAATACGGTACATTTATTTGGCAACTTGAATGTAGCCCTCTCTTATTAAAAAGGAGGCTCCATTCAAATAACAGACTTCACTTGGCTAAAATGGGATTCACTAGTTGTGTTGTATGAACCCAGCCACTACGCACATGCTTAGCACACATGTGCTTATTTCCCACACATACATTGTATACAAAGCTACAGACCCCCACTTTCTCTCTTCCCTTCCCTCCTTCTTCCCTTCTCTCTCTGTTTTTCTGTCACTCTCTCTCTCTTTCTCATTTATTTAAATGCCACATATTAAATGTATATTTCAAGCACCTCTGGGCGGCTAAGGATATTACAAAGAGATTATATAAAACATAAAACCTGCCATTTCTTATTAGATGTTATAAAACAAGTTTCTGTAAAATTCAAAATAATTCTACTAAGTCACAGTCAGAAAGATAAAGTACTTTACAAGTATACGTGGGTGTATGTTTTAAACCAATTACTATAATTTTAAAAAATCTTAAGTATCAAGATTTGGTGAGGACTCTTGAGAATTTTCTGTCAGCTCAGCTAGACTTCTTTAGAGTAATATTTCTCAATCTTGGCAATTTCAAGTTGTGTGGACATCAAATCCCAGAATTCCTCAGCCAGCATTGGATTTCTAGGAGCTGAAGTCCACACAGTTTAATGTCCTGCTCCAGAGAGGGGAAATGCCTATTAGCTGATGAGAATCCTTTACTTTTGCAGAATATGACCAGCAAGATGTTATTCTGCACAACATGTATATTTTATCTTATGAAACAAATCACCTATTGCAGTGTTTCTCATCTTGGTCACTTTAAAAGGGTGGACTTCAACTCCCAGGATTCCCCAGCCAGCAAGAGAAACAATGGTCTATTGCATCCACATTAAATAACTGATTGTGTTCTGAGTACATTTTTGTTTTAAATTGTAAATTTTCCTTGGCGTTAACTGTTAATTATTTTGTGTAACTGCATAAACATATGCATTAGAGAGGTGGGATATACCTGAATGTGAGCATCCATATCTATGAATAAAAATAACATAAATCACTTCGTAGTTACAGTTCAGGAACTCACATGATTCCAATTCTTTTTTGATCCTGCTGGCAGCTTTTTCCACCTTTTCACCAGAAGCACACAAGCATTGCAGATATCTCCCGAGCGAGCTTCATGCAGACTGTAAAAGAGAAGACTATAGGTCAATTACTGCAAATAAACAGCAAGGGAAAACATATATTCATTCATTCATTCATTCATTCATTCATTCATTCATTCATTCATTCATTCTGTCTGTCTGTCTGTCTCTCTCATACACACACATGGATGGCTTGACTTTCTGCAAGAGGCTCAAATCAATATTTTGGGGTTAGCTTGCTATGTTGAGATCACTGGCAAAAAACTTACTTTAAGATAGTTATATGAACTCAAATTACATTAAATTAAGCAAAGGTGGAAGACAGCTTTGGAATAAATAGCCATTATATTTTAACAAAGTATTAAACCAAAGGTTGACTTTCTTCTTATTATTATTCTGGTGTTCTCTGAGATCTACACATGAGGTAGAAAATCAGAAAAAAAAAAAAAAAAAAAAGGGTCCAAAAGGTCCTTTTTCAAAAGGCAACTGAACTTTTTCTTGAAGGCGTTTCGTTTCCCATCCAAGAAGCTTCTTCAGTTCTTCAGCTTCTTCAGTCAGAACTGAAGAAGCTTCTTGGATGAGAAGTGAAATGCCTTCAAGAAAAAGTACCTTTGGGACAACCACGGATGACTGAAAATCTCCATAGACATTTGGGAGGGGGGGGGAATGTTTAGCAGATCAAAGCACCAGGCTCTACTCTCTTTTTTGTTGCAGGATTGCCTCTGGTTCCTACAAATGCCTCACTGGGATAAAACAGGGCATTGTGGGAGATTAATTTGCCCTCTGGAAAAAGGAGGGCTTCTATGATTTACCATGAGCACCAGAACAATCACTTTGTGGGATCCAAATGAGTGTCTGGTCCACAAAGTGTCTAATAGGCTGATACAGGGTCACTGAGCCCTCCAACATCCTCCTCCAATCTTCAAACTCAGAAATCAAGGATGTGATAGTCCAAATTTCAGCCTGCTGGGAATTACTGCTTTGTCCTTCAAGTGGTTACCTTGCCCTTCTTCCCACACAGACAGCTCTTATCTGCCAAGTATTTGTAAATGCATGCAAGGGGACTTCGTCTATCTTCATCCAGACTTCCATGCTATAATTAGTTGGAAGCAAACCTCCCTACATTCAGCAACAGACAAATTTCTCTTGGAGACCAACACAAAACATGTGGCGTCTTTCATGTTGTAGGAGCTCCATGTGTTGCATTCAACATTTCCCCTTTGCATAGCCCCAGCCCCAGCCCCAGCCCCAGCCCCAGCCCCAGCATTAGGCAAAGCTACTGCACAGGGAATTGTGGCCCTTCTTACCCAAAACAGTTCTGGAAGTCCTTTTCGTATCGCTTGCTGTCCGTGAAACGGGAGCTTGAAGACTTGGCCCTGCAAATACAGCAACCCTCCAAACTGCGATACATCTTCGGTTTGTGAAAGCCGAACATTGTTCCGTCCCTCCTTTAGTCTGCAGGGGTAACAGGGGGAGGAGGGGAAGGTTGAGCTAAAATCAAAAAAGGAGAAGAAAAACAAGGGGGAACGCCGTGAAAAGATGAAGAAGAAATCTCCTCCAGTTATGGTTCTTCTGCCAACTGACACTCTGCATTGCCATCAAAAATGCTCCGCCAGTGCTCTAAATTAAGCATTACCACGACCGCCCGTCCATAAAGGCAGAAGTCTCAAATCCATCTTCATTGCTATGGATCACACTGGCAGCTTTTTCCGCCCTTCTTCTCAAGGCAAAGGACGTTACAGGAAATGCAATGAGACTTGTAACAAGGTGACCTAAGACACAAGATCAAATGCCAAAAGCAACATGAAAAACAACACCAGCTCCCTTGTGCAAGGGGACAGATCTAACTGCCAGGCTTAAAAAACAAGCAGGGAGTGGATGATGGGCAAGGGGATTGCAATCACATCTATTCCGGAAGGGAGAGAGGCGAGGAGATTTTTTTCTGCTGTGAACAGTCACACGAAACAAGGAAAGTGTTGTGACTTCAGCACTAGTTGCCTTTTCCACATGGGTGATGTGATACCAACCTGCCTTCCATTGAGGACCTGAGTCAAAAAGAGGGCTGTGAAAATATCTACAGAGCCCTCACATCCTGGACATAAATTGTTTCAACTCCTACCCTCAAAATGACGCTATAGGACACTGCACACCAAAACAACTAGATACAAGGACAGTTTTTTCCCACATGCCTTCACTCTGCTAAACAACTAATTTCCACAACACTGTCAAATAATTTACTAAGACTGAATTACTATTACTATTACCTATTATATTACCTATTCTATTCTATTCTATTCTATTTTATTGTAAAGCTACATTAACAGAATCTTGCAAATTTGAAAGCACAATTCTATCATCTCCTTTACTGCTCAGGAAACTAGGAAGTCTCTTCTGCTACCCACTATCTAGCTGTCGGCTATGTTTTTTTCTTATTTGATGGTTCCCTATGCACCATCTCTTTGCCCTGTCTCCTAATAAGGTCTTTCCCAAATACCATTACAGAAATCATATTTGCAGTAATAGTAACTAGGTTTTGGTTTAGCAGTTGGTGCTTTATTTTAGATAGTTAGTCCTGCCAGGACACTAGGTGGCTCAGTGGCTAAGACACTGAGCTTGTCGATCAGAAAGGTTGGTAGTTTGGCGGTTCGAATCCCTAGTACAAGTCTCCTGCGTGACCAGGGGTTTGGACTAGATGACCTCCAAGGTCCCTTCCAACTCTGTTACTGTTACTGATTTGGCTAAGCAGCATCAGATCAGAAAGCAAGAGATGGTGAATTCAAGTCAAGAGTGAATTCGAGTGATTTTGGGCCTGTCACTTTCTCTCAGGCCATTTCACCTCACAAGGTTGTAATTGTGGGGAAAATAGGAGGAGGAAGGTGTGTGGGATAGGTTTGCTGCTTTGAGTTATTTGTGAAAATAATAAACGAGGTATACAAATAAAATCAGGAAGATAAACAATAAATCAAAATAATAAACATTGCAACAATAGTGAAAGAACAGTATTTTTTTGATAAGATTAAATTAGACACTCCTTACCATCTCATCTTCCCCCTACAAGCTTTTTCCAGATTTTGGATTGCTCCCATAGCACATGGGTTTACATCCATCGGAGGTGGCTGCTATTGTTAAAAAGCACCTATAGCTTTCTAAATGCTAAGCGGGTATTAAGAATTAAACTGGTACCCACCCACTAAGTTGCAATCAGGAAGAGATTACGATATAGTCAGAAGTGGGATTCTGCTGGTTCGGGAGAATTGACAGTGGAAATTGTAGGGATAAAAACCAGCAAACTAATGTGCTGAAGCTGACCAGACTAAGGACGCTAGCCAGATGAATACCTGATAGGCAGATTTTTTTTCCTATTTTCCTCTCCAAAACCCAAGCTGCGTCTTATACTCCGGTGCGTCTTATACTCCGAAAAATACGGTAGTTCATTGGGTCATGTTTCCCTGTCTAGTTTCTCTGGGAATGCTGATATACATCATAGTAGATTGATTATACTATGACTAGGTTTACACAAAGAAAAACCAAACGAATCACACTATGGTTTAGTCTAGTATGTAAACCTAGTCAGGTTTATCACACAGTATCACTCAAAAATTAGATATAGGTAGTCCTTGACTTACGGTCATAATTGAGCCCAAAATTTCCATTGTTAAGCAAGATAGCTGTTAAGTAAGTTTTGTGATTTTACCACCTTTCTTGATGCAGTTGTTAAACTAGTCACTGCAAGCTGTTAAGTTAGTAACATAGTTGTTAAGTGAATCTGGCTTCCCCATTCTTTGTCAGGTCACCAAAGCTGATTGGACCCTGCAGCCCTCATAAATAGGAGCCAATTCCCAAATGTCTGAATTTTGATCACATAACCACAGGGATGCTAAGTCATAAGTGTGAATAATGATTTTAAGTCATTTTTTTTTCAGTGCCATTGTAACTTTGAAAAGTCATTAAACAAATGGTTGCAAGTTAAGGGCAACCTCTATCTAGATAGGGAGAGGGAGAAAGAGAGTGGGAGGGAGAGAGAAAGAGAGATCTTATATTCCCCACCCCCCGAGAGCAGCTGCTGGCTTTCTTCATTAAGAGTTTTTCTAGTACTTTCCATAAAACCAGCTTATCAAGAGCTGCGTCCTTGAATCATTGCCTGCAAGGTTTCTACTTTCAGAATCGGTTGAGGCCAAGTCTGTCTAACTTCCAAGAGACAAGGACTAAGTAGTGCCTTTTGTTCCAATGGTCATTTACGAGTTGCTAGCAATAACACAGGCAGAAAGAATCTCCAAACAGGATGTGTTCCAGCATGGTAAAAGATCTTGTTTTCACCCACTGGTTTTGCTTCAACCTTTTCTCCAATTTCTTCGTATGTTGTTATCATTAGGTGCGAAGTCGTGTCTGATCCATCGCGACCCCATGGATAACGTTCCTCCAGGCCTTCCTGGCCTCTACCATCCTCTGGAGTCCATTTAAGCTCACGTCTACTGCTTCAGTGACTCCCTCCAGCCACCTCGTTCTCAGACGTCCCCTTCTTCTTTTGCCTTCAAACTTTCCCAGCATTAGGCTCTTCTCCAGTGAGCCCTTCCTTCTCATTAGGTGTCCAAAGTGTTTGAGTTTCATCTTCAGGATCTGGCCTTCTAAAGAGCAGTCACGGTGTCAGCTTTGGAAGCCATATTAGGCCGGAAGCTTCCATGCTGCCACCTTCTCATGTGTGAGAAAGTAGGAGGGGGGATTTAGTAGAAGGATCGTCTGTAGACATAATAGCATTCTTCCTGTGGGTCAAGGACAGGGCCATCCTGCATCTGGAGGGGTGATGTCTCGAGATGGGATGGTGGTTGATTGGAGCATGTGATCGACTGAGGACTGAGGGGATGGTTTTGGGGGTTTTGATTTACTGAGGGAAAACCCAGACCTCTCAGATTCAGGTTTTCCCGGATGTGCCAGTTTATCTATTCCAGTAAATAGAACTTCGAAAAATGCTTGCTTCAGAGTCTTTACTTGGAGTTGGGAGTTTTTCTGGAACACTGACATAGGGTTGATCTCCTCTAGGACTGACCGGTTTGATCGCCTTGCAGTCCAAGGGACTCGCAGGAGTCTTCTCCAACACCATAGTTCAAAGGCGTCAATTCTTTGACGCTCAGCCTTTCTTATGGTCCAACTTTCATCCATACATTGCAACACCATAGCCTTGACTATACGCACTTTTGTTGGCAGGGTGATGTCTCTGCTTTTTAGTAGGCTGTCTAGATTTGCCATAACTTTCCTGCCCAGGAGCAACTGCCTAATTAATTTCTTGGCTGCAGTCCCCATCTGCGGTCATCTTGGAGCCCAGGAAAATAAAATCTGTCACTACCTCCATTTCTTCCCCATCGATTTGCCAGGAATTTTTTTCTTATACTTCATCTTTTTCCAACGGATGCATTTTAAAGCAGCCATCATTGTATTTTATGGGTGAATTACACTGGACTGGACATTCTTACCTTCTACTTCAGTCCTCCCAACTGCTGTTTTTGAAAAGCCACAATTCCATAAAAGCTGTCATTCCTCAACATCTATTCTACCTTCCCAGTTATGACAGCAGCACCACCTCTGGTATCAATGAGCAGCACTATTGTTCAGTGGCGTAGTTAGTTCAAAGAGAACTCAGTAAAATACTTACTTTCCATAAGTCAACAGTACTGAGTTTAGAGATGCAAGCTGAAAAAATGCAAGAAACATAAAGGCTTCATTTGGTTATAAATCATTGACTGAAATCGTCCACTTCCTCTTTTTATTCAGTTCCAACATTAATCCAAGACAAAACTAAAAACTCTGAATACAACTTAAGCTATTAATTTGGCAAATGATCTACACAAAAGAGTTTATTATCAGTGAGGGAATAAAAACAAAACTATTGAGAAAACTACTTGTTAAATTCCATAACACCCCAACTTTCTATATAATTTTGCAGCCATCACTTATGCATTTAAAGGCAGAATACTACTGAATTTAAAGTTATAAAACCTATAAAATTATCGTGCCACCACCAGAAAGAACCCTTTCTTCCTTAAGAAACAACGGAGGTGGGAAGTTGAGATTCTGTGTAATGCTTTGGATCAGGAAAAGACTACAACAGTAATCGTAGCTGTAAACTTCACATACTGTAGCAACCGGTTTGCTCAGCACCAGAAATGTGAGCTTGTGCGCATGCTCGCTTTGCTCACGGACCAACTGCGCATGTGTGTGGCATCACAAAACATGGCAATTCGCTCGTGTGCGGCGTCAAAAACACAGCAATATAGGACGGGATTGCGCCTAGGCGGGGTGGGGGCCCACCCGCAGGTCATCACTACCAGTTCACCCGAACCGGTCTGAACCGGCTGAATACCACCTCTGATCCAGTTCTACCAAGCACAAGACAGAGAAAGGAAACATAGCATCAGATAATGAAAAGGTGAAGGAGAATTCTCAACAACATCTGCTCTCCAAATACCTCAACCAGTGGCTAAAGTTCTACTACTTTA